TATTTCCTGCATGGGAGGAAGCTGCGAAATACTCTAAAAGAAACTGCAACAACAGGAGAATGTTTTGCGAGGTCGGGGAACCACTAGGGACCTTAAGATACCAGGACGGGGAGCTACGACAGGGACGGCACTGTAAGAGTAAGACTGGGATGAGTCCCGTCGTTGCCGCCAAAAACAAAATACTAAAGATTGTGTATTTTTGTGTAGGACGGCGACGCCGATATTTTTCGCTTTATAACAGCAATGACATCCTTTAAAGATGCTAGGAATCTTCTCCTGGAAAGCTATAACGATGGCATTATCGATGACGATGAATTTATTTTGCTGTATGAAGGAAACTTCTCGAAAAATCCAGAATTTCTATATGAAGACTACGAAAGATTCGACTTGAATGCGATGGATGAAACGGAACGCAAAGCTGAATTTCGCTTCACAAAAAGTGAAATTCCAAGACTAGCTGAAGCACTGGATATTCCTGGAACATTTTTTTGCCACCAAGGCACAACAGCTCCTGGAATAGAAGGACTCTGTCTGGTGTTAAGATGACTGACTTACCCTTGTCGCTACTCAGATTTGATCCCTCGTTTCGTGCGACCAGTACCGGAGCTGAGCATGATTTACAACATCGTTTTGGATTACATTTACAACACATACGGCCACAGAATAAGCCAGTGGTACCACACAATTCTAGATCCTGTTAGTTTAGAGAGGTATGCTGAAGCAGTCTATGACAAAGGTGCAGCACTGGACAACTGCATAGGATTCATAGATGGGACTGTAAGACCAATTTCATCCTGGGGAATTACAAAGAGTCGTATACAATGGTCACAAGCGGGTACACACACTAAAATTTCAATCATTTACCTTGCCCAATGGTATGATTCAGGGTTCGTACGGGTCCTGGAAATCCTGGAAAGTCCTGGAATTTTATTATCGCATTTTCCAGGACTGGAAAGTCCTGGAAAAGTAATGCTGGTCCTGGAAAGTCCTGGAAATCTGTTAAACTGAACAAAGTAATAAAGTTTTCTCTAAAACAAATGAGCAAAGTTTTTTTAGTATTTTTATAACGTATTCCTTTCTGGTTTTGACCGCATGACCGCATCTATATTTTTTCATGTTTCCCGAAACTGACACGAGTGTAACTCTGGATCGAGGGCTCATGTATCATCATAAACTCATGCGCAGTAGTAACCTTGATGCATGCATGATTTTGTAAACGGGTACTCAGTGAATGGGCGTCTTGAGTTTTAAATGTTTTGTTCCGAAATATGCCTGGGAAATGCTTGTTTAGTGACCGATGGTTGGAAAACTCTTCCTATAAATTGTGGCTGGAACGTGACGCGGACAAGTTTAAAGCAAAATGTAGAGTTTGTATGAAAGCGTTTGATGTATCAAATATGGGAGAATCGGCATTGAAAAGCCACGAAAAGGGAAAGAAGCATATTCATCTTATCGAAAAGCAACAAAGAAATACAACAGGTGACATAAGAAACCTTTTCTCGAACAGCTCTTTCGCTGCCCCTCGAACAGCCACTGAAAGTAACAACTCTACTTTGACTGTATCAAGTAGTGCCGCTAGTACAACAGCAGGTATGTCCGGGTTCGTGACGAGGAATGATACTTTAACTGCTGAAATTTGGTGGGCGCTAAAGGTGAATAGCAGCCATTATTCGTATAATTCCTGTACAGATATAAACTTCTTAGTGCAGCAAATGTTTCCAGACAGTGACATTGCAAAGAAATTTACCTGTGGGGAGAAAAAGGCCTCCTATCTTTCTTGCTTTGGTATTGCACCATGTTTCAAGAGTCTTCTAAAGGAAAAAGTCAAATCTTCAAAGGGATATGTGCTTTTGTTTGATGAAAGTTTGAATCACGAACTGCAAAAGAAGCAGATGGATTTCCATGTTCGCATCTGGAATCATGACAAAGTTGAAACTCGCTATTATGATTCACAATTTCTTGGGCATTCTAGTGCAGAGGATATGCTTCAAAAGTTTCATTCTTGCAAAGAGGACTTGAGCTGTAGAAATCTGATTCAACTCTCTATGGATGGGCCCAAGGTTAACTGGAAATTTTATGAAATGGTAGAGCAAGAATTGAAGAGTGATTTCAGTTGCACTCTCCTTAACACAGGCAGTTGTGGTATACATGTTGTGCATGGAGCTTTTAAGGATGGTTGTGATGCAGCTGGATGGACGGTGCAGAAAACTCTCTCCAGTCTTTACTGGCTGTTTAAAGACAGTCCGGCTCGAAGAGAAGACTACATTAGAATAACTGGTAGCAGTGTATTCCCCCTAAAATTCTGCCAGCACCGGTGGTTAGAGAATGTGTCAGTTGCCGAGCGAGCACTGGAAGTGTGGCCTCACATTGTCAAATACATTAATGCTGTTAAGGCAAAGAAAGTTACTGATCCCAAGTCCAAATCTTACGAGACCATTAGCAGTAGTTGCTGTGATCCCTTGATGCCAGCAAAGATTGCCTTCTTCTCATCAGTGGCAAAACAGATCAATCCTTTTCTCACAGCATTTCAGACTGATAAACCTATGCTGCCATTCATGAGTATCAGTTTGTACACTTTGTTGAAATCATTGTTGAATAGGTTTATCAAGGGTGAACTTGTTACCGAGGCAACATCTCCTCTGAAGATCCTGAGGTTGAAGCCCACTGATAAAGAACAGCAGTTAGACTACCAGAAAGTTGATGTTGGCTTTGTGGCACAACACATGCTGAAAGAAAAATCTGGGAAATTGAGTGAAAGGCAAGTTCTTCAATTCAGAATGGAATGTAAAGATTTTCTTGCAAAAACAGCCTCTAAACTGCTTGACAAAACACCAATAAATTATCGACTAGTAAGAAGTATGTCTTGTCTGGATCCAAGGCTAATGGCATCAGAGAAAGAAGGATGTGTCAAAAAAATGAAAAGAGTTCTTGAAATTCTTGTGGAAGCCCACAGATTGAAGGCTGATGAGTGTGATGAGGTGATATATCAGTTTGGACAGTTTTTGGATGAATGTGCAGGTAATCCTGACTTTGAAGATTTTGACCCTAGTGAATCCTCTTTAAGAGTCGACACACTGTTATATGAACACATGGCTGGTAATTAGCAACTGGCAAAAGCATGGGGGGTAGTTGAATTATTGCTGCTAATGTCTCATGGTCAAGCCACAGTTGAAAGAGG